AAACAGAAGTAACTCCCAACCCTGAACTTCTGCTTGTGCTGCCTTTGAGCTAAATCAGGTGTACTCTTTGGGATAGTCTTCAAAATGAAGTGTGGTGCCAGTTTTCACTGACTGTGTAAGGAGCCAGGGTTGGACAGAGAACAGTGCCCAGCGGGTCTGTCCTGGTGCCATTGTTTTCTTGTGCATTCATATGAGGTGACCTGACTGCAGACTTCAAGGACTCTTCTTAAACACAACTTCTGGACAGCAGAAAGGCAACCATGACCCGAGCATTTATTGTTTGTAAGCAGATTTAACCTGCTTACAGCTGGGAATAGTGCTGACACCATGACAGATCATGAGACAGCTTCCCTCCTCTTCAGTGGTAACTCTATATTCACTAAGAAAAAAGGATTTTGAGCAGTTTGAGCAATTTCTGTTGTGAAGAGGGTATAATGCCTGCATTCACTTGCTGCTGCTCATGGATTTTTGTCTCTCCTAGCAACCCGTATTCAATTCCCTCACAAACTGCTTGGGACCACGGAAGCTCCTGCACAGTGGCAAGCTGTACAAGGCAAAGAGCAGCAAGGAACTGTATGGCTTCCTGTTCAACGACTTCCTGCTGCTTACCTACATGGTCAAACAGTTTGTCTCTTCTGGCTCTGATAAACTGTTCAGCCCCAAGTCCAACTCCCAGTTCAAAATGTACAAAATGGTGAGTTCAGGAGGTGTCCCATGGTCCAGAGTTTTTCTTTCAGTCCTTTGTTGCCTCCTTTACATGGTGATCTGATTGTTCTTCTTGTATCCTTCAACTTTCAAATACGCAGCAGAAAAATCATGTACTTAAATATCCTTGTAGAGTTTCAGCTTAATGTTGGGGTGATGATGCCACAGCAATGTTTGCTTTTCTTTCAGCCTGTTTTCCTTAATGAAGTCCTAGTGAAATTGCCCACGGATCCTTCAAGTGATGAGCCAGTTTTCCACATATCACACATTGACAGAGTTTACACACTTAAAACTGACAACATCAATGAGCGGTGAGTAGAGCAAATGTGAATTTGAGGTTAACCTTTCTGAATGTGGCTGGGGGCTGTGTTCCTGGTGAGCAGGACAAGGCTTAGCTTCCCCATCAGGACGTAAACTCCTCTGACTCTTGTATGAATTACAAGCTTTCTTTCACTTTGATCTGCTTGTAGGGTAGCTCTTGAAGTTGAATACAGCATTGCATCTACTGCTCCCAGATGCTGTAGTTGCACAGAAGAATAGTTTAGGACTGCCAAGTCCTGCATCCCATAGGATTTTTCCCCAGTCCTGGTCAGCCTTCCATGTGACCCTGCAATTTGTAATAAAACAGACATTTCAATTTCATTTATTTAGGCTCATATAGAAGCGTGCCATAAGAATTAATGTGAAACCTCTGCAGCTTTATTCCCTAAGCGAACTTGACTTGTGATGCTTCTGAAATCCAGTAAATAAAAAATGGCAAAAAAGGATGGGGCAGAATCGCTGTTGATGAGGGATTTCCTGCCTATGGTACAACTCTTATGTTGGGATTGCTCTTTGCAGCACTGCCTGGGTCCAGAAAATCAAAGCAGCGTCCGAGCAGTACATTGAAACTGAGAAGAAGAAACGTGAAAAAGCATATCAAGGTACTGAGTTCTGCCTTCTTCCCTCACTCACCCAGACAGCAGCGTGTTCTGAAGGACACTGCACATTTCTGGGGGGATCTCTCTTCAAAAACTGCCAGTTTTTATGATTGCAGCCAATTTCTGACTTCTTCATTTCCAGCTCGCTCACAGAAGACCTCGGGAATAGGACGTTTGATGGTGCACGTGATTGAAGCAACAGAGCTGAAGGCCTGTAAACCCAATGGTAAGTGATGGAAATAATCTCACATTCCTGTAGGGTTTGGAAAGGATCATTGAGAGCAGTCTGGCGATTTGGGAAATGTGGTTACAGCTGCAGCTCCTGGACAAATCAGCCATTATGTAGCTTCAGAGGACTGTATGGAGAAACAGCTCTGTGCTGGTATAGGATCTATGGATATGTAACCCCACATCGTCTGGACAGCAGTGTAGATGTGTGTCCAAGCAGCCTGTGGACAGGGAGGGAGGTTTTGGCACTTCTGGGGCGTTTCACTGCTGCTTCTCTGCTTAGGGAAGAGCAACCCATACTGTGAAATCAGCATGGGCTCTCAGAGCTACACGACGAGGACCATGCAGGACACCTTGAACCCCAAGTGGAACTTTAACTGCCAGTTCTTCATTAAGGATTTGTATCAGGATGTCCTCTGTATCACCATGTTTGACAGGGATCAATTCTCTCCTGACGGTAAGTGTGTGAACATTTGTTTTAGGAAAATAAAGTGTTCTTGTGACTTGAGATGCATGGATTTTCACCAACAGTCTGTAGGTACAATTGCTTTCTGCAAAATGTTGTGTAAAAAGCAGTGCTTCCATACTGAAGAGGCTGAATAGCTGCCCAGAGCCAACAGTCAGATTTGATCCCACTCAGGCTTTTGTATTAGGAACAGAATAATTTATTGTCAAGCTGGGAGGAAACTGAAAGGAGTTTTTGTCTGTCTTTGTAGGCAGTACCTGAAAATAAAGTACTAGGTTACGTTTACACAGCAATAACTTGATGAGCTTTCTTTTGCTTGGAAACCAAACACTTTTTTACAGTCTGCTTCTGGTAGTTTTTAAAAGGTGAAGTGATACAACAGCCTAAATAAAAGCTGTCTGAGCCAAAGTACTTGATTTTTTTAGGGTCTTTGTAGCAGTGCAGCTGACATGTAAACGGCTGCCATCGCTTAGTTCTGACCTTGAGACTGTCACTTGTCATAAATTTTAGATGTCACCGACAGAACATTTCAAGTGTGATAGTACAGAAACATTAATGCTGGAAGTAACAACTAAATAAGCAAAAGTAGTGCCTGAAATCAAAGTCTGGTGGTAGGAATCAAAGTCTGGTGGTAGGAAAATCAAAGTATGGTAGGAAAACTGCGTGATGCTGAAAAACTTCTGCACAGCCCTGAGCTCCCCTGTCTGACATGGAACAGCTTCCCCCTCAGGTGCCGCATGGTGCTTCCCTGCGCAGCACGTAGCACTGCTGATGAACGTTGCGCTTTCAGATTTCCTGAGCTTCGTGTGCTTAATGACATCTCATGCTTGTTTTTGTACAACAGATTTTTTGGGTCGCACTGAAATTCCGGTAGCAAAAATCCGAACAGAACAGGAGAGCAAAGGCCCCACAACCAAGCACTTACTGCTGCATGAAGTGCCAACCGGCGAGGTCTGGGTCCGTTTTGACCTGCAGCTCTTTGACCAGAAAACACTCCTCTGAGAGCACTTCTTTAATTTATGAAGGACAAATGAAACTGACTGATTGAACTTTGGGATAAAACTCCTTGCCCTAAGCTCCTCATTAAGCAAGATACCTGCTGCTTTCCAATTCCCTCAGCCACTGGTTGCATTTAGTTCCTTGCTGCGTTCAAAGCTGTCGTTGATCTATGCAAACACAGACGTTACTGTGTATACAGTACTATAGCTCAGTGCCTTTTTATTACATTGGAATATATTGTTATTGGATGCCAATGTTTTCATTTTCAGGGCCATAAAAAGTATTAGGTAGAAATGTGGCATCAAAACGTATGTGTATTTTACCACGTAGTCTAACGAGCAGACTGAGGAATGGTTTTAGTTTCACACTGGAATCATTCCGTTTGAAATCTGAAAAGTGATATCCACTGGAATCTTCCTGTCTCAGGACGATAGTTTTAAAGATGAAATGCTGAAGAAGCCTTAGCACTGGAGAGTTCTCCAATCTATTGTATGTTCTTTAAGAATCAAGTGTAGTTCTTCACTTGACTTAGTTCTGCACTGAAATCAGTAACTGCAACTTGATTTTTCTTTTTGCTTCAGTTGGATGAATGGTTCTCTGCTGAGACAATGTCATTGTAAAAAAATAACTAGAAACAATGTTTTAAATACTGTGACTCACAATAATGTGGAAAAATACTTTCCAGCTTTTGGTTTTCCTGAATCTAAGTTATTTGTGTACAGTTCCTTGGTTTTGCAGACCTCCATGTGAATCTTGAAGCTTTGACATTGCCAACATTGTATATAGAGAGTAAAATATAAGTTTATTAATGTAATTTGTCTACAGATGTCTATTGATGCATAGTGACTTTTAAAAAGTATATTTTATTGTACAAGAGAATGTGAAATAATGAGAAAAACTTACTTATGGAATTAAATTCAAGAGAAGTTTGGGAAAAGTTTAAAATGTTTGCTCAGAGGAAGCATTAGCACAGTATTCATCTGCAAGATGAGACTGGCTGCAAGCAAAAACCTCCTTCGGGGCACTAAAACTAGGGCTGATTTAAAGAAGATTGTTGTAAAGGATTTGATACATGGTAACCATCGTACTGCCTCCTTCAGCTGCTTTGTTGAAAAAGCACAGCATGCAATTCTGAACAGCAGGTGCCCTTGTTTTCTGTGGGTGCCGCAATACCTCCCGGTGTCTGACAGTTCCACACTTGACTGCCATCTGTGTACCCTCCTGTTACAGAGCTGAGTCAACCTCTGTTACTTTTAACAGTTTTCGTGGTTCAGTATTTCTAATCCTAAATAAAACTAAATCTTGGCAACGCTTGAGAGATAGTGTTTGTGCTGTGGGAGAGTGCGAGAGAGCTGCTGCTGTTCTCAAGCTTCTACATCAGAGCATTGCAGTCACAGCAATGGGGAGGTGGGGACCACAGCAGAACATGTGTATATGCATCTCTAGGGCACCAGCAGCTCCATGCAGTATTGCAACACCTGAAGCTAAATGCAAGCTATGACATTCCCCCGTCCACTGCTGGAAGTAACAGCAGCAGTATTTCATACATTTCTTTGACAGCTGGGTAACAGCACTGCTGAAGCTCTACTTTAAGACAATGAGTTTATTGCAGTTCTCCAGAAGACCTGGCCCACTGTCACTTGCTTTGGCAGAAGATCTAACGTATGTTTTGCAGACAGTACCTTCTGATGGCTGCACTTGCCACTGCAGTGAGCTGGAGGAGAGGTGACATCATCTGCTCTCACTGTCTTTGTGGTGGTCCACGACTCTCAGCCTTCAAACAGAAATAAAAACTATTGTCAGCCAACCCAAGAGCAAGGCTGCCATCGCCCAGCACAGCTTCCTGCACTAGTTCTTTCCCACGCTGAGTTACTCCAGGAAATGCTTGTCTTTGTGACTGGTTTCCCTTCTAGAACTTGCTGTTAGCCTGTAATTGCTCTAACAGTTATGCTGGACAAAGGCTTGGGCCAGCAAGAGGCATAAAGCACCAGTGCATGGGCTCAGGGGAGTGAGTGAGCCTGCTTCAAGGACATCCGGCTCCCAACTGAGCTTTGATGTTCTTGTCACTGTGGAACAGGACTTCCTTTAACTGTTGTGCACTGCACCAGCAGGCCCAGGGAGCTTTCAAAAGGAGGTGAATCACTGGGAGTGTTTTATCAAATACTTTACAATGCAGCCAAACAAGAGAGGCTTTACCTGATGTAACTGCTCTCTCAGGAAACACAGCAGCTCTTACCTCCTTGTTCGGTGGAGCTCACTAGCAATGTAGGTGTGTGGAACCTTCAGCCACTCGATTGCATCCATGCGCTGCCGGCCCAGGGGAAGCAGGGGCAGTTCCTGCAGCTCTCTGCTAGAGCACGGTCTTCCTGATGGAAGGGAACAGATGCTTGCCAAGGAAGGGGGAGCTTCCCCCAGCATGAAAAGTTTCCAGGGGATACTGATGATTTAACTTACCTGTCTCACACCGCTTGACAATGCCTGTCTCAATAAACTTTTTCTGAACAGCTTTTAACAGAGGGTCCTGTAAAGCTGGTATTGAAACCTGTGACAGAGACAATTATTTCAAGCTTAAGCACTTAGACAATTTTATGAGAATGTCTCAAAGACCGAAGTCAGACAAATGTAAACTTCAAGATACAGTTGGTTAGCAGGGAGGAGTATCAACTTCAGTTTTTATGAACAAAAAGATGAGGCACGGACCTGAGTGGCCCCAGTTCTTAGAAATGCTGAGCATCACAACTCCTCCTTCAATACTGTCACTGTCCTCCACATTCAACACTGTCACAAATGATGAGACACAGACAGGGCCAAGGGCTCACAGCACCCAGGAAGGATTTAAAGAATTGGATTTGTGTCTGAGTCCTTCCTACCTGCCTCTCCCACCCAGTACACAAGGTTGTTGTGCACTTGATATGATCTTTACAGCATAAACCACCCCACCTTCCAGCAGTCTGTGCACGTCTTCAGGAACAGTGGGTCATATTCTGATGGGTCATAAGCTTCTAAAGCCACATAGCCCTGTAGGAGAAGTAGATTACATGTAGTGTAACAGGCAAATACATCCATTTTAATTGAATGCAAGCATATATACATTGTAAGTACTTTCATGAAGCATCCAGACATCCAGACTAAAAGGTTAACTATTATTAGGGCAGTTCAGGTAGTGAAAATTCTGTTCAAGGGAACAGGTTTTGACCAAAGAAGGAAAAAAAAAAAGAAAAAGTGACTAAGCCCCACTGGCCTCATTTTTTCCTTTAAATGAAGGTTTTCAGCTTTTCTGTGGACACAGTTTGCCAGGGGTCACAGCAAGGAAGGGATGCAGCCTTTGGCTCTCTGGATCTCTGCCCTATATAATTCTTTTTGGAGGTCAGCAGATGAGAGCTGGAAACATCATGTTTGGAACAGGTCAATAGGACTGCAACATAAGGCCAAACCAAACCAACCAACCAAACCAAAGCCCTGGGATCTACAGGAAGTGTAAGATATCACTGTGTTGAAGGCCCTGCAGTGGGCAAGTGAATCAGGCCAGTGGGTCTGTTGCTCCAGACACTCACTGAATACCTGGGCAGCCCCACGGGACCTGAGCTGCTGCTGAAAGCAAACATTGCTCAGGCAGGCCACACAGCAGCTTCTCTCACTTTCTGCAAAACTTTAAGAACTAACGTGCCTTGATTTGCAAAGTTTTAGTGCCACCCATTGGTTAATTACTGTATATCATCCTATTACAGTACTGGGTGAAGCCTCAGTGCTAGATGCTGTGCCACACCACAAACTCCATCTCATCATGTATGGCTGTGAGATTGGAAAAAAAAAAGAAAAGAAAAGAGAAACTCTACGAATTTACATAGAAAGAGGGAATAGACAGATGAAAGAGAAACAAAAAAGTGAGATCTGAGGAACAAAACAAAAAGTCTACAAAGCAGGGAGTGGTGCAAGAGAAAATGGGCAAAGAGAAGGAGGAAAAAAAAGTGCACAAATAGAATTTGGGATGTGAACCAACTCCTAGAAGTGTCTTAAGTTCTGCAAAATGTGTCACATGCTGCCATAATTAATGCAAATATATGCAAATAATGATGCTGTTATTCTGGAGGGCTGCAGCCCACTGAAGCAGGGAGAAAAGGTGGGCGTTGGTCACTGATGGTGCACTTGTTTGGAGTGAAGAACACTCCAGTGCAACAGCCACAGTGTTCAAAGGTCACCCAGCAAAGTCCTGACCCAACACAGGGGTTTGCAAGATGCACTGATGCAGACCCAGATGTGCACAGTACACCTAACAGATGCAAATGCCAGGACTTGGGCTGAAGGACCAATTCAGCCTTTCATCATTAAGTGCAGTTTAAATGCATGAATCTTTCACATCAGACTTTTGAAGAATAGATTGTTTGCTCTCATTTCAACACCACAGCTCCCACAGTGTTCTCATTTATGGATAGGAAGCTTGTTTACAGTCTCATAAATCCACTGTGCAGTAGTTTCCACTGACAACAAAAGACTGCCCTAAATAAAATACTATGCTATTTGTGGTAGATGATCTGACTGCCCTTATTGCTCTTGATATCCAAGTCAGAGATGCAGAAAGTTGAGTTGTGGAATCTCTTAAAGAATTATATGAAATTCAGAGCAACAACAAGAAGCATTTCCTACAGTGACTGCTGGCCTTTGCTTTCACCCGATGGAGCTCTGTTGATGGAACTCACAAATGAAATCCACTGTTTGACCGTTCTCAGAACCCAGTGTGTGCTCAATGCACTGAGCAAAGCATTTGCTTTTATCTTATGGCAAATTTGAACAACTGGCTGGAATGATGTATGCCACAATCAGAGGTCCTCAGGAAGAGTAAGTTGTAAATAAGGCACATTGGAACACCAGGCTGGTCAACTAACAGCAAATAGTAGCCAAGACCCCAGTCTTGTCCACAACTCTTTCCATGGCAGAAATCTGTATCTTGATACCTTCTTTTTACAGTAGTTTAAATAGAGAGAAAGTTGTTCTTCCCTCCTCTTCTGTATTTCTTCCCTCGACTGGCTATCCATTTTGTCCTCAATTTTCCACAGCAGTGGCTCTGAAACATCCTCAAGCCATTTCTTGTATAGGATCTCCTTCTTTCTCAGATTTAAGAAATCGTGGTGCCTCAAATACCTGTCCACCTCCTGTGTGAAAAAATGGAAAAATAAGCACACAACACGTCAGCCAAACAATCACCTCAGTGAGTCCATAGATAAAGCTATGCAGCATGGCTGACCTGATCTGACTGGGCAGTGCTGCCATCCCTCCCTTCTGCTCCTCCCTGTCTCATGTTGGCTCCAAGCCCTTCCTTGCATGGGCTCCAGCAGCCACACTCTGAATTTTTTTAACTGTAGTGGCTGAAAACTGTTCTTTTTTTTTTTTTTTTTTTCCCACCAGGCTATTGGGAAAAGGATTTTCTTCCTCCAACAGTGGCAGTCTGCTGGATTGGGTCAGTCCTGCTGTCCATTATTCACAGTCTCACCACCATCCATCTCATCCACAGAACAAAAGTTAGGTGCAAACAGGCACTCAGCAACTGAAGAGAGAAAACTGTGAAATTCACATTTAGGGTTGCCAGTTCAGTCCTGTCCTCAGAAAGTCAGAAGGATGTATTTCTGAATTTAGATTTCCAAGCATATAGACAATTGACATTTTATCATAATTCATCGATGGAGATAAAGGCTTTTATGTACAGAAAACCAACAGCAAGCAAGAGAAAAGAGATCATTTCTTACTCTTACGAAGTAATTTTCTCTGTCTAAGATGGACTGAGCAGAAGCGATGATGTCTCTGCTTTCATCAGGAGCCACCTGGCAAAACAGCAAGAAAACATATGAAGTAAAAGTAGGAGTTACAGCAGCAGTCAGAATTATCTTAGATCAGAATAGTTACTTGTGCTGGAATTTAAGGCATGTTACACTCTAACACAGCTGGCAGAACAGCATAGATCTCTGTGCTCTGAATAGATACATTAAATTCAAGTCATGTTTTGGAAGAACAAAAGCTCATGTTCATTGTGGTCAGCCCATACACCTCCTTGCATGCTCCTCACTGGGTCTGCACCACCACTTGATCCAGGCCACTTGCTCAAGTGTGTCCAAAACAAACAAGAAACCCAAACTCTTTGAAAGGGTAGATAACTGCAGGACAAGGGGAAATGGTTTTAAGTTGAGGGAGAGAAGCTTTAGGTTGAATGTCAGGGGGGAAATTCTTTCCAGAGAGAGTGGTGAGGTGCTGGAACAGCTGCCCAGAGAGGCTGTGGATGCCCCGTCCATCCCTGGAGGTGTTCAAGGCCAGGTTGGATGGGGCCCTGGGCAGCCTGGGCTGGTATGAAATGTGGAGGTTGTTGGCCCTGCATGTGGCAGGGGGTTGGAGATTCATGATTCTTGAGGTCCCTTTCAACCAGGCCATTCTGTGATTCTGTGATTCTGTGAAAACCAAATAAACCCAAATATTTAGGTTTAATGTGAAAACTTTTTGAATGTCATGGAACTCAATAAAGCTACCTCAAAGTGCTCAATAAAACCCACCAGATTCATATTTTCAGTTATTTGTTCTCCTCTCCAATGACAAACATAACTCAGACCTACAGAACTTTGCGAAGAACCATCTTTTATTTCTCCCTTCATCCCTTCCATTCTACTCCACTCCTCCATCATACCTTCATGCGATAGAAGTCCTTCTGTATCAGCCAGTATCTGCTAGTATTTGTCTTCCCAGAGAATCTACTGCAGTCAAAAGTATTTGCTGTGTTGCTCCTTGCTGGTGCTGTGAGGCACCTCTGGATAAATTAAAAAAAAAAAAAAAAGGAAAAGGTCTGCATGAAAAATGTCTACCTGCTTTATAAAGATCAGGTTCTCATGTAGGTTCCACAGTCAGGCTACAAACTGGGATACAAGAAGTTCACCTAAGATCCTCATACCATGCTGCCTTGCAAACCTCGTTCTGCCAGGGCAGGAATAACAACAAAACATCACTTAAGCAGTTCTCTGCAGTACTTCAGGAGAGAACATTTCACACACACGAAACAGAAGCACTGGAGATAGGGATATCCCAACCTAGAGCAATGATTTTAATGGTGAGGGCACTCTTCAAATAAATATACATACAGGTTCAATTCTACATAGCCATAGTGGAAGTGGCTCTTGTGGTACTGGACCACTACTTACTGGGTCAGCAAGTGACCCTATTCATGCATACATAAGACAAACTGCAACATCATTGCAGCACTGCGTTTATTGATGCTTCCACCAGCACTAATGTTTGGGGTTACTCTGGAAGACTTGCACAGTACTTGGATTCTAGACAGCCCAACCTACAACAAATGGACAGAGCACAGAAGAGCACATGACTCTTCCCTTAATACACATATATTCTGTCAGAAGAAGGGTGGCCAGCAGGGACAGGGAGGTGACTGTCCCCCTCTACTCTGCTCTTGTGAGGCCCCATCTGCAGTACTGTGTCCAGGTCTGGAGCCCCCAGTACAAAAAAGACAGGGAGCTGTTGGAGAGGGTCCAGAGGAGAGTCACAAAGACAATCAGGGGACTGGAGCACCTCCCCTATGAGGACAGGCTGAGGGAGCTGGGCTTGTTCAGCCTGGAGAAAAGAAGGCTGTGGGGTGACCTCATTGCAGCCTTTCAGTACCTAAAGGGAGCCTACAAACAGGAGGGGAATCAACTCTTTGAAAGGGTAGATAACTGCAGGACAAGGGGAAATGGTTTTAAGTTGAAGGACGGAAGATTTAGGTTGGATGTCAGGGGAAGTTCTTTACAGGGAGAGTGGTGACATGCTGGAACAGGCTGCTTAGAGAGGTTGTTCAAGGCCAGGTTGGATGGGGCCCTGGACAGCCTGGTCTAGTATTAAATGTGGAGGTTGGTGGCCCTGTGTGTGGCAGGGGGGTTGGAGCTTCATGATCATTGAGGTTCCTTCAAACCCTGGCCATTCTGTGATTCTGTGATTCTGTGATACACGTCCCTGAGCATTCATAGGGTGGAGACAAAACCACAGGGATGTTTCTGCTCAATGGGATGCCTGATGATCTCAAGGGCTGGGCAGGGAAGGCAAGTCTGTGGGTACCAGCTGCCAGTGCCAAGAAGGAAACACAGCTGAAGCCAAATGCCCTGGGTTCTCAGCTATACACGAGTTTCATGTTTCATTTTCATTCTTTGGATCAGAATTCACAGCTGAAGGAATGCAGAGAGTTGCTCACCTGGCACAGCTTGTGCTGACAGAGTTCTGCTGCAGGCGGTGGACCTGGAACGGTCTCTGAGCTGTGTGCAGTATGCATTGCTGGGAGAGGCTGCAAGAAGCATTAAAACATTCCAAACCATATGAAACTGTTCGGTATACACCAAAAAGCTAGTTGTCCTGCAATGCCAGACAAACACGCAACAAAGCTCTGTAGGAATTCTAACTGCTGCCAAACAGACCAAAAGTGGTTTTGTATCACTGTAAGTGAAAGGGAGGGAGACAAAGTATCACGTGTAGAGGCAGATAGTCTGGCACTACCTGTCTGTTCTTATCTCCATAATAAATGGATGGTAATTTTGTTTCAAAGAACAAAGTGATCCACAAATTACTCCAGAATGCTTCCAGCTTTGAAAACATTTCAGGTTCTGCCTCGTGACTTTTACTTCTTTCCTTTGTGACTTTTTCAATTACATAAAAGTTACCTTCAAGTAACCACTACATTCCACAACAGGGATAGCTGCGTTTCAGTGGTTTTTAAAGCCAGTTCTAAGAGATGAAACTTACACTAAAGTACTGAGATCAAGCCAGGAAATGCCATCTCCTCCCTTATACGTGCACCAGTATGTTTCATAGAATCATAGTATCACCAAGGTTGGAAAAGACCTCTAAGATCATCCAGTCCAACCATCCACCTATCACCAATATTTTCCACTAATCTAATAAATTTCCTCTTGCATCAGGAGTTCTGCTCAGTAGAGCAGAGCGTTCTTCCCTCTGCTGAAATACGTGGTACCTCTCCAAACATGTGGTTTTGCAGAAACATTGAGAAGGCAGATTAATCATTTCTGTGGCAGAAAGTAAATTCCCTTATAGGTGAGGCTCTGTCCTCTCAAAAGCCCATTCTGACAAAAGCCTTGAAGAGAAGCTACCCTGAAAGCTCACAAACAGTCATAGAACAAGCAAGGTTGGAACAAAACCCTCAAGATCAACTCCAGCCACAACGCACTTGATACACGTTATAAAAACCACACGTCTGCTTGTTAGCAATGCACTGAATTTTGTTGACCGTGTAAAGGAAGACAGAGAATTAAGAATTCAAATTACTGCCTGACACACAACTGCTTTTTATTCCTGTTGGATATGGTAAAGTAAGATTATCTGTTGTTTGGGTGTACAGATCAAATCCTCACACAGAAGAGGGTTTGCTAGTTAAAAGTCTGCCGTGTTCATGCTTTTTTTTCTTTTTTTTTTTTCCCTTAGAAGAGAAACACTTGATACTGAGAAAACTTTTATGTATTAAAACGGAATGAGGACTTTTAAACCCTGTGAAATTCTCAGAAAGGCTTTCCTCCCAAACCTTCTATTGAAGGACCCAGCGACGGCCGCTCCGGGGCAGCCCCTGACCGGGTACCTCAGCGCCGCCTCAGCTGCAGTAGAGCCAGGGCAGCAAAAATGGCGCTGCCCCTTCAGCCGCACCACACCACCCATGTCGTATGTCCTTCCGCCTGAGAAAATAGTCCCTTCCCACTACCTCCAGCCTCTCGGAAGAAGAGGGAACCCCCTCAGGACAGCGATTCGGCTCCCTATCCGCAGGGCAGGCACCCAGCAGCAGCCTCCCCGGCCCGAGGGGGCGAGGCGAGAAGAAGAGCGGCCAGACCCCTCCGCGCCCGCCGCCAGCGCTCCAGCAGCCCATAGCAACGCGAACGCCCGGTGCTCCGTCACAGGGCGGACCTTTCCACCAATCAAAATGGGAGCGTCTTGCCGAGTGAGCCAATCGGGAGCCGAGCACGGCCCGCCTCTCGGGTGGGCGCGCTGTGGGCAGCGCAGTGCGGCGCTGGGGGCGCGGTTGCCATGGCGACGCCTCGCGGGGCTGCGGTTGTGGGCACGGGGCGGCTCCTGCGGCTGTGAAAAACAGAACCGAGAAATGCTATAAAAATTAACTTTTAGGGGGGTTTTACAGCCTTTCTGGCAAAGGGGACCGTTCTACTGCCGGTCTATTCTGCCGCTCTCTTAGGTTTGGGATTTTTGTTGTCTTACTTTGAGGGTTAGCGTTAATTGTGTCGAAATTCCTAAATTCCCCATTGGTTTCCAGTTTAAAAGAGGACGAACATTTAAACATTTATACACCTGTTCCTTCTCGCAGAACAAATGATCCAGCTTCAGGCTTTGCTGAATGAAAGCCTCGTCAGAACAAAGCACGTGGAGAACGCAGCCGCGATCGGCATCAACGAAAGGGAAATCCGCGCTTCCACCCCTGGCTTCTACGTAAGAGATGGGAGCCGCGGGGTGACGGCGGCGGGAGGAGCGCTGGGAGCGCGGAGCTCAAAGCGGCGGTGCGGCGGGGAGCTGCGCCGTGCTTGGCGAGCACGAGTGTGTCTGAGCATCTTCTGGCACCCAGATGTGCTTTCCTAATCTCTAAGATCGCTAACAAACGGTTTTTACAAGGGGACGTACAGTTCCCATTGGGATGCTCAGAAGAATGTGTTCAGAAGACTTGCTGATATAACCCTAGGGGTTGAGATAACGTAGTTTTAGGTAAACTATCAAAGAAAGCGGGTGAGTAAACCGTGAGTAAAGAGCAGTTCATCATTGTGAAGACGTACGTTTTCAGTCCGTAACACTGTGCTGTTATGCACACAGGTGCCACCAGAGAACGCCATAAACCTCATCTATGCCTTCTACAAGAACTTGCTGCAAGTTAGGAAGGAAGGACTCTACTTCAAGCAGAAGCACTATAAGTGTGTTAGAGCAGATGAGCATTCCATCTATCTTAAAAATGTATGTTGACAGCTGTGGCAGTCCTGAGAAGTTTGGAAGCCTCCTACTTCCTTCTTTTACTGTCTGGTTGCATTAGGATGAATGCTTTCATGTGTTTCTTTCCTTCTTTCTCTTGGTATCACTTTCCCAGCAGGTTGGGGAAACTTATTCACATTGCTGTGCAATAATACATTAAAGGTGCTTACAGCAGAGCAGGCCTGGTCTCTTCTCACTTGTGACAGGTGAGACAGGACAAGGGGAAATGGCCTCAAGTTGCACCAGGATAAGTTTAGGCTGGATATCAGGAAACACTTCTTTACAGAAGGGTTGTTAAGCACTGCAATGGGCTGCCCAGGGAGGTGGTTGAGTCACCACCCCTGGATGTGTTTAAAATCAGTTTCGATGTGGTGCTCAGGGACGTGATTTAGCAGAGGGCTGTTAGAGTCAGGGTAGGATGGTTGGGTTGTGGTTGGACTCGATGATCTTTAAGGTCTTTTCCAACCTGAGCAATTCTATGATTCTATGATTTCATTGGAAGCAACAATGGGCAATACAATATGGGACCTGAGTGACTTTAATAAGCAGCAGTCTTCAAAACATGCACAGCTATTGTTCTGACTGCATCCTTTCTTAGAATTTCAGAGTATTTGTTTTTTTTTCTTCCCTCAAGTATACTGGCAAAGGGAATGTCTGTGTGTAGCCTAAATTGAAAGGCAGTATGTATGTGTATGCATCTAACTTCGTCCCACTTGTATTATCTAGGCAGATGGAGGCCTCATAGTGGTGAAGACAAAAGCTTTCATTCTGATTGCTACATACAGAGTGGGCATGTATCCCAGTGTTTGTGTGGAAGCTGTGGAGAAACTCGGTAAGACAAACACATGTACTTGTGTGCTTGCACATCAGTGGTTCATTGACTGGCTCTGCTCTTGCAAACAACTTCAAAAATTTATCTGATGTACTATCAAATCCTGAAAATCTTGGCAGCTTGAATACAGCCATGTGTTACTGCCTTCCAGACATCCCACCATGATTGAAAGCTTCCATGGGTATGAACAGGTTGCAGAACTCTTGCATTGGCCTTTGTGGCACAAGTTTTTTGTTGTTACCCTTAAACACAATGGAACCCAACAGTTACATTTCCTTGACCTCATGCAACTAATGCTGAGCTGTGTCTTAACACACATCCTATGAGCATCATCTTCCATGCTCTGATTCACATTCCACTTCTTCAGAGACCCATGAGCTTCCCCAAGAGCTTCAGACTTTCCTTCTATGCCTATATGAATCTGATGACATCATTAAGCTGCTTCCTCTCATGTTCTGTTTCACAGTTACAAAGCACCTCTTCTCTAACAAAAGTGCCCCTTTCCTTTCCTCTTCTGCCAAAGTTCCCTTTGTGGGACTCCTCAGTTCTCTCTCAGGTTTGGTGTTTCAAAGACTTAGGGTTAAAATCTCACACTTTGTTCCCCATTTGAGAATAAGGCAAAATGTAGCCCTCTGCAGACAAGGTGTCCTCATCTCAGATGTAGTTTTCTCCGTGTGTGGAGGTGCTGGCAAGGATTATGCCAGGGAGATAAATAACAGATACACATCCTATTGCTGTAGTGTGTGGCTGACTATCATTTTATCACATCATCCAGATGGACTGAATGCCAAAGAGCAGATCCCAGAGTAGCCCTGATTTTCACCATGGAAACAGAGATATTTCTATACCTATGAGTATGCTCATTTCATTGCATAGGAATGAAATTCCAAATCTATTGTGCTCAGCATTGTTCCTTCTCTAGGTGCCTACATGTAAGTGGAATTAATCTGTGTTTTGGGGCATAAGCTGTTTAGTGTGAAATGAGCTGTAAGACTGACAGTAATAAATTCTTCATCAAACTTTCATTACATGTTTCCAGAGCCAGATTTCCTGCAGTTTTGACAATGTGAGTTTATTCTTTCCCTTCAGGATGATTTCTTTGTGAAAACAAAGTGGCATTAGTTTTACTTGCATCTTATTTTTGCAAATGATTTAGGTATAAAGTGATCAGTTTATTCTGTAGAACAGATAATACCACATGAATATAAGCATTAGGATTTGTGCTGTGCAATTAGGAATACTGCTGTCTGTTCTTGCAATTAAAGCCCGAGGTGGACTTGAGCTTGAAAAAAGCATCTCGATTACAGCAGTTCTGTGTGTGATTTTCATTATTGTTGATTTTTTAAAAAAATTATTTCCCTGTGTTTTTATAGCAGATTACTTAAGAGAGAAGGGTAGCTGAATCAGCAGAAAATTCGAACTCCATCAAGTTCAGAAGGACTGTTCACCAGCAAAACAAGTACAGAAGTCTGACATATTATCCAATTCCAGCAAGTACCTGCTATTTTACTGCATTCCAGTGCAGAGTGAAGGCTCTTTCCTTCTGTTTTTCTCTCAAGAACTCCTGATGGTTCACAGCTCCCAAGAGGACTGCCCTCTGCGTGTATCATCCAAGTTTCTGAACAGAATTTAGAGTGATGCCCATGGGATTTGGTTTAAGATGCTTTCCTTAGTCTTTTGTATGTTGTCTTTTAGTTTGTTCTCAGATAAGAAGGTTATGAATTTTCCCGTGCAAAATAACTTAACTCATAGCGTTTCTCTATGGCATCACAGACCTAGGAGGCTAAGGAAATTGCCGCATTAACAGATTTTCAGATTGCTCTGTACACCTTTGAATATTAAAAATAAAACACATTTTCACATGTCTGTCTGCACTGTCACTGATATGCTATAGAATATACTTCAATCTGCAGTGGATTGTGAAGTTCTGTGAAGACTTGGGAGGAAGGACAACGTTGCTACCAGGCTGTAGAATCGTTCAGGTGGAAAGGACAACTAAGATCATCTAGTCCAACTGCAACCCATTCCACCATGTCCCTCAGTGCCACATCTCCACAGTTCCTGAACTGTACAGAAGACCACTGAGGCTCTGGCTATATCACCAGGTGAAGAACAGGCTGAAGAAAACCAGGTCCTGTGATCTTCTCATCTGCAGAAGCAAATAAGCTATAGCTCTTGAAGTCATGTGAGAATAAACACATGTGGATAGTGATAGGACAAGGGGGAATGGTTTTAAACTGAGACAGGGGAGGTTTAGGTTGGATATTAGGAGGAAGTTTTTCACTCAGAGGATGGTGAAGCACTGGAACAGGTTGCCCAAGGAGGTTGTGGATGCCCCATCCCTGCAGGCATTCAAGGCCAGGCTGGATGTGGCTCTGGGCAGCCTGGTCTGCTGGTTGACAACCCTGCACATAGCAGGGGGTTGAAACTAGATGAGCACTGTGGTCCTTTTTAACACAGGCCATTCTATGATTCTATGATTCAAACAAATTTTTTGCTATATTTGTTTCTAAATTTTTTTAGTTTCAAAGTGTCCAAGTCCCAAAATATTAAAATCAATATGAAAAGAAATGCACAGAAGAACCCCACACACAGACAGACATGAAAAATGATACCGTATCTAAATACTCTGAAATGGCAGTTTTATTTCCTGACAACTCCCACGTAACAGGAGCTGGCAGGTGGGATGTGGATAAATGCATAACCTGAGGCACCTCCCACTGTGGGAAATGGCAAAGCTCAGCAAAGAGGTGAGATAAGGTGGCTGAACCAGCAGGTAGAAATGCAGTGGGCGGATGGACATGAGCTCTGAGTGCTGCAGTCTCACAGGAACCAGAGACAGATCTAAATAGCATTAAGGGCTGTCACAACTCATGCACCCTTAACACAGTGTGAGTAAATCCAGCCTGTGCTATTCAGAGTTCAGAAATCCAAAGAGCATTTAAATGCTTCGCTCAGGAAGCTCTGAACGCACACAACCAACCAATCAATGAAGAGCAGCAGCAGGGTAAAGGCACCAAACCAAACCTCCCTGCACGGTGGGGGCGTGCGTGAAATCTCTACATCGATGTCAAAGGGAAAAGCAGATTTCTGCCTCGATCCATGAAACAAAGCATACCTATGGGAAGAAATAACAGTGAGATGTGCTAATATTTCTGACTCAGTTCAGGTCTTTCCCTCCGAGTAAAACACGACCTCTTCTGATTGCACCCCTTGTCTTGCTGGGGAACAGCTGACTGCAAAGGCAGAGCCTGGGAGGAGGGAACCAGACCTGACTGCTCCCAGTGACAGTTCCCATTATGCAACTTCTCTTCCTTGAAGGAAAAGGTGGCTCACAAGAAACGGCCAGGAACCACGCACCCTTAAACTGCTGCTTCAGGCCTCCGCTGGCAGATCTGATCGTTTGAAGGTGTTGCACTTGGAAACTTGGCTCTCCACTTGTAAACATTTGAAAGCAAGGTATTCATATCTTTGCTACACTTTTTAAAATCTATATCTATGCATATTTTGGTGGACCTGCTTCCAGCAACAGAGCGTTCATAAAAATGGGTTTGGTGGACTGTCAGAAGAGGGATGGAAGCTTCTTTATCATCTGATTTTTAATTGTTTGTAGTGGAACAGGGTAAGAGGGGAGAAACATGTGTATAGGGTGCTATCCAGAGGGCTTCCCATTACATTTCTGTGCTGACAAATGAATGTTGACAGACTGGATTGACTGGTTTAGCTGGAAGTAAAAAAACCAAAAAACCAGCCAGTCTCAGAACACGATGCCTTAAAGTTACATTTTATGCCAATAATTGGTAGCAGTTTTCAACTCACCATAAAGCAGCCACAGAGCACCACCCTGTGGGGAATTACATCCCTGGGCTTTAAGGTGTTTATCGTTCCACATTTCCAGCCTTACAACAAATGTTTAAGTATGCACTTCAGGGGTTTTGTGCAGATAATGTAATGCAATTGACTTTGCAGAGGGCATGCAGCTCTATCATGCAGCTCTGCTTACGTGAAGAGGGTCAACCTTGCACACACGTTTGTGCAGCAGATCTGTACTGCATTTATATGCTGCAAAGTACAGGAAATAACAGAGATTTTCCCATTCTTTTCTCTTCTGCTTCCATCCAGTACCCAGAAGGATGATTACTCCAGTTTGATTTTCTAGGTGAAAACAGGCTTAACATCTCAGCCCATCTCAACAACTGCTAGTGGCAAAACCAGAAGCTGTGAAGAGTTACCTGAAAGGTTCTGCAATAGTGAGACCCTTTATAGGAGTGTGTCCAGCACACAGCAGTCAGGAATCACCTGCTAAGGGAGGCAAGGAACATAAGCAGGAGGTTTTCAAAGCATCTCTTACCCTTCAGTCATGCTAACTCACCGTTTCTCAAGCAGCTCTTTCACCTTCAAACTGCTTCACAGTCTGCGTTGTCCATCTGCACTTCAGCCCATGTCTCTGCCTTCCAGAGGTACAGTTTAGCTGTACTGATTGCAGAGGTGTTCCACCTACACAGTATGCCTGCATTCATGCTGACCTTGACATGATTGTTTTCTAGGGAAGATGCTGGCAGCCCACTTTGATTGCCCAGGAGGACCAGAAAATCTCTATGTGAAAGAAGTGGCGAAACCACACCCAGGAGAAGGAGAAGTTCTTGTGAAGGTCTCTGCCAGTGCTCTGAACAGGGCTGATTTACTCCAGGTATGTGTATGTTAAGTGGGTTTATGCACCTGAAAACACCAACTTTTCAAGTCCCCATTTGAAGTCTTGACAAATCAGAAGAGTTAAAAGAGATTGGCCTTGGTGAGCATGTGGCTGGGAGTCTTCCAAGGAAATGCTCATAGGGCTGAAAGAAGAGGTGTTGATTGAGTAGGTGAATGCTTTTATTTTGATCCCTGCAATGCATGGAGACATGGAAAGGCAGCTGCCTTTCAAGAAAAGATGTAAAAGAGCTCCAGTCTTTCTGGATGCTTAGACCATTTTCTAATTTGAGCAGAAAACCATGATCAGGAACTGAAAGTCATTCCCAGTATGGATTGGTGTGGATGTAGGGAACTTGCAGCAAATCATACTTGCACTGTTTTAAGAATCAAATATACTTACTAAGGAAAAGGGAGTGTTGCCAAAGGATGGAAGGCCCTTAAATTACTGAAACATTTGCACAGTCCAAAATCAGGATAAAATAAAAAGACAGGAGGTATACAAATAAAATACCACAGGTTGTTACACTCACTGATGTATGGCTTTTCATTCCCTATCCTCTCTTTTGTTTTGTTTTAGAGGAGAGGGAAGTACCCTCCCCCCAAAGGAGCAAGTGATATTTTAGGCTTAGAAGCAGCTGGGAGTGTGGCTGGGCTTGGACCTGGCTGCACCGGGCGGTGGAAGATTGGTGATGCAGTGATGGCTCTGCTCTCTGGAGGCGGCCAGGCTGAATATGTTACAGTACCTGAAGGTCACCTGATGCCAGTTCCCAAAGATATTACATTTATTCAGGCTGCAGCCATTCCTGAGGCTTGGTTAACAGCTTTTCAGCTGCTGCATTTTGTAGGTGAGAGGTGTACTTGCGAATCTATCCTGTCAAAACAGTTCACCTTTATTTCTGCTGTTAAGTCCTCTAATTGTTGCCTCCATGCCTCCATCTGAATGCTGTCTACCTTCAAAATATTTTCTCTGTCACACCATTCACATTTTACCTATCTGGTTCAGAATGAGGTATGAATTCACATTCTGAAATCCTGACCACATCTACCCAGACACAACATACTCTGCTGACTTCAGGAGAACCAATCCTTAATGCTACCCAAAGCTTGAGGAATTTCTCCACTGCTGAGTGCCCAATTTCTCAACATTAACATTCAGTGAGTGTGTTTTCTGTTGGCAGCAGTTTACTGGAGTCAGTAAAATGGAGTCCTGTTAGTACACCAGGAGTTGTGTTCATTCTGGATTTGCTGCTTTAATAAAGGACATGAAGTTGCAAATAGGACTCAGTGAATAAGGATATCTCTTTAAGATTTCACTACTTTTATCTATTCAGTTTTTGCCACTTTGATCATGTTCTACTTCCCAGATAATGCCCACAGGGTAATTGTTTCCTTTACATTCTCCTTCAGGTAAAATACAGAAAGGGGAAACAGTGTTGATCCATGCTGGAGCTAGCGGGGTTGGTATGGCAGCCATTCAGCTGGTCAGACTGGCAAATGCTATTCCCATCGTGACAGCAGGAACTCAGGAGAAACTCAAAGCAACAACAAATGCTGGAGCAGCTGCAGGGTTCAACTACAAGAACGAAGATTTTAGCGAAAAGGTCTTGGCCTTCACCCAAGGTAAGAACCTGAGTGAAAGACACAGTTAAGAAAGAGTGTGTATCTTCTAAAGCATATGCACATACACTCAATTTCAACTGGGAGTTTCCATCATCTTTTCAAAAAGAAGCATGCAAATCTTCTATGCTCCCTTTGGTGCTAAAGAGGTTGGGATTCCAGTGGTATCAAATCTGCTTTACTACTCGTGAGTTACTACAGGTAATGTAACATCCTGTTCAGGTCAAGAATGTATCTTTCCTTAGTTTAAGGCTCTGTTTTGCACATGGGCTCCCTTTGGCTTTATGTTCATCTGCAGTGTAAAAATGGTGCCAATATTATTGTTGCACCCATAACTAAGCATAGGAGCAAATCCTTGCACTTGTTTTGTGTCTGAATAGGCAAATAGGCACAAAACTTTGTTCTCTTACAGTTAGGAAAAATGAGGGTTTTTAAAAGCATTTGAGACTCTTTCTGACAGACTATGCATGTGTGTATCTGTAATGATTTGGTTTTGTGCCTCATGCTAGGATTCTTTACAGATCATTGTGTCAGTTCCTTGTTTGCCAGGATTTAGGTAAGACCTAAGAATAATTCTGTACCTAAAGAGAATAATGTTTTACTTTTGCTTGCCTGAGATTATCCTATCTTTAATACAGCTCAATGGTATTGCTGTTTCTTTTTTTCTTTCTGTTTCTACTTGAGGTTCTGGAGTAGATATTATTTTAGATTGTGTTGGTGGCTCTTATTGGGAGAAGAATCTCAGCTGCTTGAGAACTGATGGCCGGTGGATTATTTATGGACTACTGAGTGGAGGTGAAGTTCATGGAGATTTGCTTGCAAGACTGCTCTCCAAAAGAGGGAGCATCCATACAAGTCTATTAAGATCACGAGACAAGGAGGCAAGTAATGACTATCAATGCTGTATATAGTTTAATCTTAAAATATGTGACAATTTTGAGAGTTTTCTCTTGATATCATCTCTAAAGCTGAAAAAAAGAGTACCATATTGAACTGTTACTACATAATTTAGAGAACATTGCAAAATTACGAAGTGCATCCTTCCAGAAAACAGTACAACAGAGGAATGCATTGGGAATACTAGGGACTTTTTAACATGCTTAATGATACCATAATTTAAAGATTTGTTCTAAGAAATAAAACTCGAGTGATCAGATGACTTGATCAAGTCTGGGGGAGAGAGAGAAGAACCTCCATCAGGTCATCTGCAGCCACACTCCTCAAAGCAGAGACCAAGTTAATTTCAAGTCCAGAAATTACCAAAAGAAAATCATTTTATTTGGAAAATTCAGTTATGACTATAAAAGGCACTTTAGGATAGATGCTGTCCATGAGTCAACCTGAGAAATGTCTGAGAATTGTATACATTTTGTATGCTGTCTTCAGAGACTGTTCGGTGAATGTGAATGACTAGAAAATGATCTGAAAAATGCTTTATTTTTCTGCAGTATAAGGAGCAGCTGGTGAAAGCCTTCATAGAAAATGTGCTGCCCTATTTCTCTGAAGGAGCCTCTCCACATCTCCAGCCGCTTGTCGACAGCGTTTACCCTCTGCATGGGATTGTGGAGGCACACAGGAAAATGGAAGAAAGCAAGAACATTGGCAAAATTGTCATTGAAATGCCACTGAAATCACCCTAAAGAAGGGCCCTCTGCTGTAGTTGCTCTATGGGTAGGAGCACAACAGATGCCTTAAAAGCTAAGATTCTGTGATTTCTGCTACCAAATTGGAAATGATTTATTGTGAAAGATGTCAAAAAACGAGGGCCAAAGCAAAGTCTTACAGGGTATGTGAATAAAAAAAGCAATTCACACTGCAGATACAGCATATGACATCTTTATACAGGAAAACAACAGCGGGACAAGGGGAAATGGTTTTAAACTGAAGGACGGAAGATTTAGGTTGGATGTCAGGGGAAGTTCTTTCCAGAGAGAGTGGTGAGGTGCTGGAACAGCTGCCCAGAGAGGCTGTGGATGCCCCATCCATCCCTGGAGGTGTTCAAGGCCAGGGTGGATGGGGCCCTGGACAGCCTGGTCTGGTATTAAATGTGGAGGTTAGTGGCCTTGCATGTGGCAGGGCAGTTGGAGATTCATGTTTGAGGTCCTTCCCTTCCAACCCGGGCCATTCTGTGATTCTGTGAAAACCACCACACATCTATCTCCAGTCTCAGCTGGGGCTCGCTTCTGTTTTCCCACACCTTTCCAAGCCGCACAATTCCTACAACTCATCAGGCGCCAGCCTAGCCCCGCCTAAACAAAATGGCGGGCGGCGCCGCTTCCCTCAGCCCATGGGAGGCGGGAATGGGGGCAGGACGGTGGGCGGGGCTAGAGGCACGCAATCACGCGGGGTAGCGCGGCAGCACTTCCGGTGAGCGCGCGCAGTGCAACGTGGGATAACATCCGGGTCTTCCGCTAGGGAGAACGGCGGCGTCGGAGGACCGCTGTTGGAGGATCGCTGCCTGCTGCCGTTTCTCTCCCAGGCCCGAGGCCCCCCCGTTGTCCCGGCACCATGGCGATGCAAGCGGCCAAGCGAGCCAACGTGAGTGCTCTTACCGGGTTCTAGCTTTGGTAAAACCACGTAAAGTCTATAGCTGATGGGCAGCAGGCCTGAGATGTAGTAGGTAGGCTGTAGCATTTAAGGTTTGAAGTGGGTTCTGTGTGTAGCACGACGTTGTTTCTCCTTCAGATTCGGCTGCCACCGGAGGTCAATCGGATCCTATACATCAGGAACTTGCCTTATAAAATCACCGCAGAGGAGATGTATGATATTTTTGGGAAATACGGACCTATTCGGCAAATCAGGGTGTAAGTAATTTTAGTTTTCTTTGAGAAGTTAAGGACTTAACTTAAACCAAGGCTTTGGGATAGCTGTCATATGTCAGTATTCCTATTACAGTGGTAACAACTGGTTTTCATAGCTGAAAAAGCTGAGTGTGCGTTAGCAGCATCCCTGTGTGCTGAAGGGGCACGTGGTTGTGTTTCTCTCGTGTGTCAATTTGTTGGTAAGCAGAATGGTGCTGGTAGGTATGTTGGAATAGCTTAAGCCTGGTCTGAATGTAGGTAAGTGGGAAAAAAAAAAGGACTTAAACCTTAAATGAACTAACCTTTTATTTTAAGTAAAGGTAAAAATATGAAAAGCAAGGTTTGAAGGCAACCACTTCTGCTCAGTGAGGATTAGATAAAGAACTAATGAAGAAACAGGTATGGCACCACTGATGATGGACCTGACTACCATAAATACTGCACCCCTTGCTGTGCAGCTCAGCTCTGAGCCACGTGGAGATCTGACTGAATTTTGTTCCAAATATGCTGAGGCTGTACCTCTCTGTGGCAAATCTGAGGCTCCTCTCTTTAGTTTCTTCAAATATTGATGACCTGAGCTCTGATGTTCCTTGCTATCCTGAGCGCTGTGCTATGGATCTAACTGTAATTTCATCTGGTTAATGCTGTGTTCTAAGTTTTAGGCAGAAAGAGTTGGCTGAGGATTTAGGATTAGCTGTTGAGAGCTGCAGTAAGACTGGTTGGAGTACTGGCATTCATACAAGATGATCTTTTTTTTTTCTTCCAAGCTCGGAGAAATATTTTGGAAGGGAGGAGCAATAATATTTGGTGCTCATCTTTTAATATTTGAAAAGAAATTAAATGTAGGGTAGATATGATATGATTTTCTTCATACTGCCTTTATCCTGATGTTGGCAAAATAACTTGTGGCATCTCTGAGCTCACAGGTTGTTGACTGGCTTACAGCTGAATGTGTCCTTGTTGTTTATGTTGCTCTGTTTCCCTGTGCTCTTAGACTGAGTTGGGTAATGAATCCATAACGTTCATCACTTCAATTTTGTGGGGTATAGATATGATAATAGCTAAAAAGATCAAACTCTACCCCAAATCAAAGTGCTCGTTTCGGCCAGTGCTGTAGTGATAAAAAGTGATGGCTCAGTGCAAAGAACAAAGTGAGTTTTCTGTGTAGAGTTACTCTCAGTAAACACGAACAGAGGGGGAGTACTGGGGTGTGCTGCTGTATGCTGTGTTGGAAAGTGCAGCTGGTGGGGTCTTATTAATACAGAGAAGAACAACAAAAGGGACTGGGCAAGGGTTAAAAGAATGAGAGAGAACGTACTTCTTTTGCTTGGCTAAATAGGTGGGATTTTCACTAATTGACATACGCTGACAGAAGAGAATTAATATGAAAAAGAGTAGGTTGGACACGCCACATCTGGACGCAGTGCTCCAGGTGAGGCCTCACAGCACAGAGCAGGGGGCAGGATCACCTTCCACGCCATGCTGGCCACGCTGTTTTTGGTGCAGCCCAGGGTACAGTTGGCTTTTTGGGTTTTGAAGGCACAGTGCTGGCTCATGGCCAGCTGCCATCCACCAGTACCCCCAGGTCTTTTTCAGCAGGGCTGCACTCAATCCTTTCTTCCCCTTGTATTGGTTGTGAGCTCCCTTTGTGGAACTCCCTTTGTAATTCTTCTCCTCCTTTGTGCAGTTTTATCCTTTCAGTTTGCATTCACACTGTGATGTGGAAGTGTGTGATGTTGTTTATTGGAATTCATTTATAAGTCAGCTCCGAAGAAAGGGTTCTTGTGATTCCTAAGTTGGCTGTAACTGTCTTTTAGCTGAGATCTTGTGGCTGTGTAAACCCTGTAATAAGCTCTGTGTAAGCTCAGAGCTGGTTAGAGTGATGTGCCCAGACGTGTCTCCTGCTCCTCAGGCAGAGGAAATTGAATTGATGGTCTGATAAGTGATGGTCATGCAGCTGAACCAGCTTGCATCAATATAGCTTTGTTGTGCGAAGAACAGTATTCTGTCTCAGTCAGTGCTGAATAGTAAGAGTCCTGTTCATAGAACTTGGTATTAATGTTTGTTAACATTTGCTCTGCAGTGGAAACACTCCAGAAACGAGAGGAACAGCCTATGTAGTCTATGAAGACATCTTTGATGCCAAAAATGCTTGTGATCATCTGTCAGGATTCAATGTGTGCAACAGATACCTTGTCGTTTTGTACTATAATGCAAACAGGGTAAGTGCTCTTGGTTTTCTTATTGTTACCTTTGAAGATGTTCAGCATAAAAAAAAAATCAGTTTGAGAAAATGGTTGGATGCTTTTAAGAAATAATTCCAGACTGGTAGAGGGAATGGGTGGATAAATGGCAAGGATTTCATCTTCAGTGTGATTCATGTGCATAAATCACCACAACCTTTGGACTAGGAATGTGGAAATCATGCTTCTGGTGAGAAGAGGTAGAAGGGGCCAAACAGTTACAGAGGGCTTTGAGATTTGTTTAACAGGAAGAAGTCTGTAAATCCTTGATGTTCTGCCTGATGAGGCCCAGAGTCTGGTGGAGTTCTCTGAGGTCAAGAACTAAGCAGTGCTGTTTGTATGTGATGTTGATGTCATTCACAGTGAGAAGTTAGTTGCAGTTTATAGGAAATAACATACCTTAAGATGCAGTTTTTCTTCTCATGCATTTTATTATTTCCCTTAATTACAGGCATTCCAAAAGATGGACACAAAGAAGAAAGAGGAACAGCTTAAACTGCTCAAAGAAAAATATGGAATAAATACAGACCCACCAAAATAAACTGATGTTTTTTAAAAACTGTTCTCCAGATCTACCGCTGTGTTTTGAAACTAAGGATTCCCACTGAAGTATAACTTACCGTTTTTAGTAGGCTAATTTGAATCTTTAGATCAATTGAATAGATGTGAAACATCAGAATATCTGCTTTAAAGTTAAATCTCCTGAAGGGACACGACTTCCCTGTGTTGTAAGGGCTTGGATGGGTAAGTGCTGTGTAACCACAGCCCTGTTTGGAGCAGGCCTTTGGAAGATGGGACCACATATGTTGAGCATTTCTGGCCTGCTGTTCCTCAGCCTCCAGAGCTGACTTTAAACATGGTAGCCAGCTGATGCAGAAGAGTTTCAAGGGCTCGATATGAAGTATCTCTGAATTTCACCTGCTGCTTCTAAAAATTGATTAAATGCAAGTAAACAGGACCCTTTCTGCTTTTTTTGCTTGTGGTTTGTGAATGGTTTGATTCTTCTTCATGCTTACATATTGTATCCAACTCATTGTTTCTTTTTCCTCCTGGAAATATTTGATGGAGTGTTGTGGTTTAACCCAGCAGGTGGCTGAGCACCACAGTTGTCTCCTCAACCCCTGCTTCCCATTGAGATGACAGGGAGAATCAAAAGGAAAAAAACGAAACTAGAACTCATGGATTGGGATAGAAGTATTTGCTAAACTGCAGAAAAGGGTGATAGTTATGACAAATATATGCATATGCATATGCATGTATATAACAAGTGATGCACAAGCAATTGTCCACCACCTGCCAACCAAGACCCAGCTAGCCTTCTGAACAGCAGCAGAGAGCAAGGTAAACTCCCAACCCCTTCAGAACTCCATCTGCATGATGTTCCAGGCTATGGAATATCCCTTTGGCTGGTTTCACTCAGCTGTTCTTGCTCTGTTCCTTCCCAGCTCCTCAGGCCCTTCACTGAGAAAGGCTTTGGCTCTGTACAACGCTGCTTAGCAGTGACTATAAACATCAGGTTGTTATCAGTGTTGTTTTTCTCCTAGAACAAAAACATAGCATCATACCAGACGCTGTGGAGAGATCAATTTGGTTCCAGCTGAAACCAAAACAAGGAGGCTTAGCCTGTTAGGCTGCTGTTTGCTAGAAACAAAGCTATATTTATAACGGAGATTCCTCTACAAATAGAAAATGAGTGGCCAGGTGAAGTAATCCAACTGTTTAGGTGACTTCTGTCAAGATACCTCATGCCCAGTGATAAGAGCTACTCCTAACAGCTCTCATTGCTGTATGGCTGAGGATGCTGGAAGAGATTTGGAAGTGTACCAGATTTGCACTGAAGAGAAGCAACAGGAATGAAGCTGATGTCTTTAATATTAAGTA